TGGTTTATATTATGATTGTTTGTGTGTAATATTCCTGACTCTGGCGCCAGTGAATATTTAACTACAGATATTTCCAACTCTGACGTTGGTAAATATTGCGTAGGTATCAAAGTAAATAAATTTAAATCATTAATTGCTAATATTTTTTTTTGTTTATACTATGATTGTTTATGTGTAATATTCCTGACTCTGGCGTCAGTGATTATTCGACTACGGATATTTCTAACTCTGGTGTTAGTAAATATTACGTAGGTATCAAATTGAACAAATCAAAGTCATCATTTTTTTTTCCTTTCATTCCTGACTCTGGCGTCAGTAAATAAATAAATAAAAGTAAATTTTTATTTACGCGTGCACATATTTTTTTTTATTTTTCTAACTAAATAAAATAAAATACAACGAATAAAAATAATATAAATTTAAATTGGTATTTTTATTCCTGACTCTGGCGTCAGTGAATAAACCAATAAATTTATATTATTTTTATTCATGCATACATATTTTTATTTTCATATTTTTTATTTTTTATTTTATTTTAGTTTTTACCCACAGGCGTGCGTGAACTGCTCACGCACTTTTGCTACAGGAAGCATGTAATTAAAATGTAAGGAGGGAAAGAGCAACTTACCTGATGCTGCAACTAAAGATGATAATGATAGTGAAGGGCCGGCTTGATGCTATTTTCTCTTCCTCTGTTTTCCTCTTGGTGTCCCTCTAATCCTCCTTTTCTCTGTCCTTTTTTTTTTCAAGCATACCTCTAGCAAACACAGTAACCAGTTAATTATTTTAGTAAGAAAGGAAGGAAACTTACCTAGGCGTGTGGCTGCTGAAGGCGAAGTCGAGGGAGACTGGGGAGAAAAAAGGATTAAGGGGCGGCGACTAATATAGAGTTCGTCGCCCCCTTCTTTTTTATGTTTCTTTCTGTTAAGGTTTCTGGTAATGGCCTCTTCTTAAGATTTTTTTCTTTTAGGGTTTCTCTCTAATCGTCTTCCTTCCTCTCTCTCTCTCTCTCCTTTTTTTGCTCTATTTTTCTGGGTTAATTCTCTATTCTCGGGTCTATCCTCCCCTCCTTTGTTTACCTTTGACATCTGTATTTATAGTGTCAGAGTCCCTTTGTGTGTGAGAAACCAAGTTTCAATCAAAACTTCAAGCATGCATAGGAGGAACATGCAGAGAGAGAGAGAGAGAGAGAGCTCTTAAGCTATGCAGATTTAATTAAAAGATGAAGCTAAGAATTTGAATTCCATCAGCACAAGGAAGAGAACGACACTAAATTACCCTTTAGCCATGCATGCTTCGTTCGGTCTTCACCCGTTTTGCTTATCCACTAACATAAAAACAAATCTTAAGAAATATTAGACAAATTAACAAATCTTTTTATTGATGCACGGAGAGAAGGAACACCAAGCAGAAGGGAAAAAGAAAATAAAGATTTCTTTTGGAATTTATAAGACACGCACGAGTATGCTTAATAATCACATGGCTCTACCTATAATTGCGAAGTCGTCATCTCCCTCGTGCTCCAAGCAAATAAAAAATGTTCATATAAATCAACCCAATGGATAACTATATACGTACATACAAAAAATAATAGTTATGAAGCAAAAGACCTAAAATCTATAACAAAAATGGTCAAATCACCAAATCAATATGGTGTTAACTTGGTGAGAGAGAAGAAGTGAAAGAAAACAACATTCAGATAATTAATCCTTTCTATAATAATAATAATCAAAGCTTCATTGCCATTGCTGTTAACTTGGTGTCTTGAATGCCACCAAACCAGAGTTGCTGGCAACCAATTATCTGAAGAGTCTGTCCACAAAAAAGGAGTAGAAGAAAAGTCCTTCAGTTGTTCCAAGTCATGGAATCAAATACACGTAGTTAAAAAACGAGATATATAATAATCAAGTTAAGTTCATGGGAAGACCTAAGAATCACTCACGCATGGCATTCATTAAATTACAAATTAAAAAAAATTATGCCAAAACCCTCAAGCGATAATCCCCAGTACTCTCTCAACCAACCAATCGTCTTCCTATAGATAAGAAGATGACAATGATAATCGGCTAATTCTAAATCATAGCTGTGTTGTTGTGATGGCCAAGGAAAAATAAAAGCAACCAGACTGTAGATCAGTTCCTCACAAACCATACCTAAAACGCTTTCATCAGTCATGCGCTTCTTTATTGATTGCATCCATTGATATTTCCAATCCTCGATAATATTAGCAATTAAAATAGGCTACAGCATATATGATGATGAGAAGAAAAAAAATGGATAGTTACATGAATCAAATATATTAAAGAAATAATTTAACCTAACATTTTACATTTTACAGATAATATAAATTATATCTTTGAATCTTATCTAACAATTTAAGTTATTACATTAAATTAATTTTTTAATATGATATCAAAATTTTAATAATTAAACAGTTATAAATTTGAATCTTGTTATTTTTATATATTTAATAAAAATTAAATACAATAAAATATAAATTTTAAACCCAACAAAAATTAGAAAAACACGAAAAAATTAAATACAATAAAATATAAATTTATATAAATTTTAAACCCGATAAAAATTAGAAAAACACGAAAAGCTAAGTAGTGACTACCTTCCTAGAAAAACACTCTAATCTGAAGAGGAGAGGAAAACAATGTGCGGCCCACATTACAACATCTATGTCCATAGTTTTGTGCTATGAAAACAACGACCCGAAATCAAAACATATGTTTGCATTTCTCTTGAACTCCATCGACATCATATGTAGTTTGACTCATTAATCTTACACTTAGTTAATGTCTTGAGATAAGAAAGATTTTGGAAAAGATCATAGCAACGCATAATGTAAAGCTTTCATAATGCATTCAATAATATTGGAAATTCTACTTTCAGTGAACTGAGTTCCTGGTGAAACGTTCCATTTCTCTTGGCAGTTCTTATTTCATGTGATGTGTGTCTCTATCTCTATGCCAATTGGAGCTTTTTTATTCTTTTCCAGCTGCCAGTGAAAAAACCTACTTTTAATTGATGTCTGTCTCCTTTTGACGGACCAACCTTTTCCAGTTTTCGTTTCCTTTCTGTTCTTTTTGCACCCTCCTTGCTTCCTGGAGCCATTTTCCAGAAAGCACTTGAGAATGTGATGCAAATGAATGAGAAAGCTCTCTTAAAGTCTCGTTGCTAGTCCCATCTTCTACCCTTTCTATGTTTCTGTTGTCGCCCAGTAACAGATTTAGGCCCCGTTACTGGTTCGCAAGTTTAAAAGTATTTAACACATTTCAAGTATGGATTTATTGAAAAAGCTTTCTCTTGAAATCTTAGTTAATTAAATACAATTTATAATATTTTTAAACCTAAATCATAACCGCGAATGTTACTATACTACCAAACACACATTTATTCTTCAACCTTGGAAAAACTTTCGAATTGCAAGTTTCCAATGTATACAAGTGTTATCACGGAAATAACTCAGAATTTCAAATCATTCACTTGCTTTAACTACCAAGCTATGCTATGGATGTGGGAGCATTAGCTCCGTTCTTGAGGAGCCGGAGAAATTGTTGGAATTCTTTGAAAAAGAATTGCGAGCCAGTGCCCTTCTAGATTTTCTTCTTCATGACATATACAAAACTTTATGACCCCCAACGGCCTTGGGGTCTTTGTTATATTTCCATATATAAGCCTATAAAAAAGAAAGAAAGAAAACTTCTCTCATCCACCACAATGGATGCATATAGAAGGAAGGAAATGAAAAAAAAAAAAAAAATCCTTTATCGTTCCTTGTTTGTAATATATAATTCTTTCAATTAGGATGAATTGACTTTCACCATTTTTCTTTTTTATTAACAAGATAATAATGTTATCATTGCAAAATGACCATCTTTCATGACAATTATATCATTAAAGAACAAGGAACATGTAACTATAAAATATCTGCCTGAGGCGTAAGTGCATAATTGCAGCTCAGGTCGATTTCATGTTTCTTTGTACAAAATGTAAAGAAAAAGTGATAAGAGTCATGTCATCATGAGGTGCATGGACTGGAATTCTGAGTGGATTATAATTAAATTAAATAACAACTTGAAAGTGTTCTTACAATTTATTCACACAGCAAAATTGAATTTTAATTAGTGCCAATTGTTTGATACCTATATCAGTATTTTAAGAACACTTGTTTAATTATATATATAAAAAAAAACTGTATACCAACTTGAATGATAATTATGATATATCTTTATTGATATTGGATCTATCTATATTTATGTCTAATATCAGTAAATATATATGATAAATGTCACCAAAATTATCATAAATTTATATTGTCAACATAATAAAAACAATTGTAAAATATTGTTCTTAAATATACTAAAATGGCCCTTTTATTTGGATTTTTGAGGAAATACCACTACAAGTCAGTTTCTATTAGGGAAAAAAAGTACTTCAAAATTTTAATTTAATTATAAAATATAATTCATAATAAATTCATATTCCTATTCAAAACCCTTTGCTCAAAACATTCTATTTATCATATTAAATAATCATTACAATTTAAGATTTTGATCTTTTTTTAGTCTTCAAAATCGGTTTTGCATGGTGATTGCTCATATCACCTCTTTCTTTCTCCTCTAACCGAAAGAAATATTTTCTCATATTTACTCCATGACTACTTGTTCATTTGCTTCTTAGCAGTACTGGTAATGGGACCATCCTTTTAGCGTATAAAAGAAAAAAAAAAGAAAAAAGAAATGAGATGATTTTGTAATTTACATATTGAACAATGCTGTGTTAGTGTAATCATCAAAAATATTTCCAGATATGAGTGATCACAGTTTCCTCAGACCACATTCAAGAATCTCTCACTAACAGAAAGAGATCAAAATCGTAACAGAAGCCAAAGTAAGTTAAATGTAGACTGAAACAAAGGGCATTGCAAGATTGAAGGATACAGTAAGGATCAATGATTAAGATTAAATTTTATTTTGATTGCGAAAACCAAGAAAAAAAAAGGACAGTACTGTGATACATCGCAAAAACTAACAAAACAGTTCAACATTTATTATGGGAGAACAGCTTGCACTCATAGAAACTTGTCCAATCGGCTTTTTTCTTTTCTTTTTTCTTTCAGGGTTCAAACTCGAGAACTATTAGCCTGGAGGGCGTGGACATGAAAGCAACTTAACGTAGATTATTGGCTAAGGCATCTTCTGTCCATTTCTCATCGGTTGAATCAAGAAATGAAAGCAATGACATGAAATCAAAACCTTGTTCAGCTTGAACGCATTTATTGCTAGTCCAATCTGCCTCCAACAATTCAGAAAACTCTGCTATTTCTCTTGGATTGCATCCATTAATAGACACACTATAATGATCACCATCTACCTGTATGGTATTAGTGGAATGATTAGCAGTACTAGTTATATCATTGAGGTCACTTGACTTTGGGAAGTCTGAATCAAGAATCTTGAAGAAGTCTTCCATATAATGAAAATCCATCAAAATGTTGGACAAATTGTCATTATCCCCAGATGCTAACCCCTTGCTTGATGATTCATTTTCATGATGTGTGTTGAATGGTGCCATTGCAAGAGTGCTAACTAGATGATCTTGAGCCATATTGTTTTCTTGTAATGCAGTAGCGGGAACAACCACCCCAGTAGTGCAGTACTGTGATTCAGTGGTCTGATTCTTGACATTTGATACTGCTGCCCCATTTTCAGATCCTGATGCTATTTGTTTCCTATCAACTCTAGGCTGCTTCCGAGGTTGCGAATGTTGTGCCTTCTTAGCGATATTGGTGTGCCAATAATTCTTTATTTCGTTATCTGTTCGTCCCGGAAGCCGTCCTGCTATCAGAGACCATCTGGTGGAAAAAGAAAGGAAAAGGTTAACTAAATATCACTTACCCATCTTCATTAATAATATACTCAATCCCTTGAAAGAAGGAAATAATGCATGTACACATCACCTGTTGCCTAAGAGCTTATGCAGCCTGATAATGAGGTCTTCTTCATCATCTGAGATGTTGCCTCTCTTAATATCAGGTCTCAGATAATTCATCCAGCGAAGCCTGCAACTCTTCCCACATCTCTTAAGTCCTACAACATGCATGTAGGCATCAGAAACAGTTCAATATTAATTTCTCCTATCCTAATAACAGGCAATTACTCATGCACAGTATATATGTATAGAATATGTAAGCATAAATGGTTTCTTAATTACCTGTTTCTTTGACAATATTGCTCCATTTACCTTCGCCATGGATCTTGACATAATCCACAAGCATTTCATCTTCCAGAGGTGTCCATGCTCCTTTGTTCATACCATCCGCTGAGCACCTCGGCTTTCTTCCCATCTCTTGCTGTATCTCACTACTAGCTACAGCTCGATGTCCTCTGGATGACTGGATACCTGGTACTGTTGGCTTTTATTATTGATAGTGTGTATAGATTCGATGTCCTGCTGTGCGAGATGACTTATTTGGTATTGAATCGAACCAATAATACATGCCAAAGATAGCAAGGAGCGTCCAAGCTATAACAGGACCACTTCATCACTCATTATATAGGAAAGGACCACCCGGCATTGATTAAAATTGAATGCTTGCTATCAAATTTGCCAACGTGCTTTTGCTTCCAATTAATTAGCACCTAAAAAGACTGTGGTGAAGTTGCACAAATAACGACAATTATTCTCTGCCATACACTAATTATATATTACTGAAATGTTTTGTTTCAAATATAAAAAGAAATAGAATTTAATTAATTGAAGAGGCTAGCTTAAACATTTCACAAAACATAATTAAATATTTATTGTCATTTTGATATATTATTGAATCGATCTTTCCCAGCTAACATCTTTCATTTTTGGATTGTTTTATCAATTGTATAAAATAATATGAGTTCTCACAGGTCTCGAAATTAAATAATTTTTATTCCATTAATGGGGTGTTTTAATTAATTAATAAAAGTAATTCAGTGACCCCACTTGTAATACTGAAATAATGAAAACAAACAAAAAAACAAAACCAACAAATTGTATTTTATTTTTTATTAAGATCTTGGATGGGTGTTCCGTGTTGTGTCTACCATGGATTCCACGTTGCATGCCCTCCCTTGCCTTTTCTGTCATTGTTATTTGTCAGTATGATTTTTTTTTTCTTCCATTTCGTGATTAATTATAATTATAAAATTCAACCACCCTTCTATATTTTCTCTTCTCCAGAACTAACATGTGGCCATTTCGAGTTCTAGAGACTTGAAAGTTCGTTGGCTGCGTTTACTATTAGTCCACAATACAAGAAACGAATAGTGATATACTCAGGGAATTGAAAGTTTGTTAGTTACCGACAAAAAAAAAATCTCTCTCAAATCTTCTTCTCCTTGATGTGAATCTAAGTGCCCACATCTTGGACTTTAACGTTTATCACTGGGGGTGTTTGCGGGGGCTAAAGGAGGGTGGTGGGGGTGCTTAATTTTTAATTTCAAGAGAAGTTGCAATTCAAGAACTCTGTATAATTATGATAATTGAGATGAACTGACTCAATCATGGTTCTTGCCGCACTACATATAGATATGAGCACACCAAGTTATCCTCAAAGAACAGGCAAAAAACCTTTTCGTGCGAAAACTGCTGCCCTGCACAACACTTTGCCATTGATAGTGCATATGCATTTAAAACGTTATGCCAAACATTTGCAGAAAAAGAACAAGCAAAAAAGAAAAGAAAAACATATGATCAAGATCTTCAATGGAATCATTACAGAAGAAAAAACATGGAAAAAAATATATATTCCTCCCAAATCTGTTCTGTCTGGTTATTGAAGAAAGTCTGTTAAGGATCGCAAACCAATTAAACCACACAATTCGTTGAGGACTCACCAATTTGAACCACAAGCTGACTCCAAGTCTCTTTCTTCTGCAGAAAATCTCCAACTGATCTGATTGTCAGGGATGTGATCATCTAGGCTGAGCTTCCATAATTAGAATAGAGACGCGTGTTATTTACATGACAATGATTGCTATTACTGAATCCGCACTAATGTAGACGTAAAAATTGAATATATTTTTATCCATATCATAAAAATTATTTTTTATATCATTTGTAATTTCATGCCCATGAAAATGCGTATATAGTCATACTTCTTTTTTTAATATTACAATTTTTAACAAATATAAATAAAAATATCAAAAAAATAATTTTATCAGTAAATTACAATAACCTTACAATGGTATATTCCTCTTTATATCCCGTATGGTATATACTGACATAAAAATTTTATCAGTATATACTGAGAAAATTATAGTAAAAAAATAATATAAAAAAAATAAAATAACATGTCATTCTTACAAGTGATATTATCGACATAATAAATTTGTTATTAATATTCATATGTAGTTTTTAAGTTATAAATTGATAATTACCCCCTCTCTCCTCCCTCCTTTCTTCTTTTTCTATTTCTCTTTTTGTAAAAAAATAATAAAAGATCACTAGCTACTTACTCATTTTGTGTGATCTTGAAAAGGGAGGAAGGAAGCTGAAATGTTCTTCTACTTGCTGGCCTTATCGTTTAGCTGGAAATTAAGAAAAATTACATATTTTTGTTTTATTTTAACTCATTTTAAAAATATTAATCTTTTGATATTTTAATATAGTATGTCATAACCCAATTTTGGCCCTTTGGCTTTTAATTTAATTTTTACAGGGTTTAAAATGAAAAATTAAAAGATCAGAGATTTATTTCGAT